GTCTGATGTGTGTATTATATGGATTTAAATATGTTGTTTTAAGAGATTTTCATAACCCTGGATGCCACAGTTAAAAACAAACACCAGCATGCACCGTTTTGCAATCTCTTAAACAAATAAAATTGCTCTGATTTAAATAACATTTATTTTACATGACCAAACACAATAAATAATGTAATATACAAAGCTTTATAATTATTGCACATTTGTAAAATATCTTACAGTGAGTTCATACAGCCAGCAATATTTAAAGCACAAAGACTTTATTTACAGTTTTATCTTATTATAATAGCCAGATCCAATGGACCTAACATAAGATGAATTTGTGTTCATTTTACCAACCAGCGTTCTCATCAGTCATATATATTTGGGAGGGGGGATGTAAACATTATTGCCTAAAGTACCTTATATACATCTGGTAGCTGATCATAACAAAGAGCTTTAACAATCTAGAACGGTAAAGCTGATAAAAGGGTAGCATATTTTGGTTTATTTTATTTAGTCTTAAATTATATATTAATATTTTCATGTAAACTTAGTGAATATGAGCTGGTATAATCATTATTTTACATAAGTAGTCTCATCTCTTTAGAATAAAAAAGGAAGTTTAGATCATTGTTATTTCCTTGGGAAGTTCTCTAATATTTTATGGGATCATAATACATAACAGGAGTTTTGAAATACTGCTTCCCCTTGGAATCTTTCCCACTTGATAAAAATAATTTCTCCTGGAAAAAATTAATTATTTCAACATACAATGAAAAATCTGTCCTCGGGAATTGAAATGTTAAAATCCAGTGTCTTTAAAAATAACAAAAAATATGCCAGGAAAGGAATTTGAAATAAATCGCATAAAATGTGCCAATGTGTATATATGGATGTGTATGTCTCTTATATATGTATTTAAGAGCACGAATATATATATGCATATACATAAATATACATATATATACACATACACACGCAGGTTGCATACACACATATACCCACTTTGCTGGGCCTAAACATGCAAGTTATTTTAGGGCTTCAACTCTTCAGAAAAATCTCATTATGTGAGGAGCGAAGTGGCTCTGCGGGGAGCATTATGGAAATATCTGGGCTTGATTTAATGAGGCTGTTCACATTGGTGGAATATCAACTTAACAGAGAAAAGTCTACCCAGGGCGTCCAAGTTACCAAAATGAAAATTGGCAATTGAGATGATAAGAACGTGGTTTTCTTCTGCGAAATCACTTCAGGTAACAGAGATAACATTAAATAACATACATTCTATGCACCAAGAACAATGTTTTATGTACCGAGTCTCTTATCCGTCTCTCCTAATGACTTCCCTTAGCGGGTTGTTAGTGTTTGACAGCAGGTCTCCGTGCGGGGAACTTTTCTCCAATTCCACATTCAAAGGAGGTCCATCAGAGAGCATGATTGGCAATTTTCGTCATAATCTGCACATTATTAGCATCAAAATTGACGTGGCAGTTAACACTGGTGGGTTTTGATGTACCTTTCTTCAAGTTCAAGGAAACCCCCCCTGTAGCCAGGGTTGGCAGAGCAGGTCTCAGCAACCCAGCGGTGGCTTTTGCAGAGAAGGCAATAGACATGCGTGAGAAATATGCCAAGGACCACTTTACCCGAGGAAAAGGGAAACACGGAGAGAAGGGGTCGAGAGGAACACAGAGTTCGAACTCATAAAAGTGTCCAAGGAAAGCCTTAGGATAATATCATATATCTAGAGATTCAAGTATTTCCCAGATCGAGTGGAACTCGACAGTTGGAAAACTGAGATGAAAAGCCCCTCTCCCCACCAACTACAATGCTCTACCAGTGCGGCCCTCGCCTTCTCTCGGTTTCCCTTTTATTTCTTCCCTGGCCTGGCTGTGGCAACCTCGTTACTCATTACATTTTGCATATAAGTATGCAAAGAAAAAACCGTTCCATTTCCTAAGCGCTGAAACCAAAGACTAAAAGGGAACTGTAAGTGGCCGGGAGAGAAGAAAGCGTGATCGCCACCGCTTCCCACCTCGGCTTTGTCCTTTTGGAGAAGACCGCCGCAGCTCTGCGCGCTGCGAAAGACATCACGCATGCATTCTCCGTCTGCTTTGTGGCTTCTCACACTTCACCCCCCTGCTCCCCTCGGACAAAAGCCCCTAGCAAGCTGAGACTGAGAAAATCTGCCTTTCCCTTCTCCCCGTCGTTTAAAGACAAAAAGAGCAACCGCGTCAATCTGGGCGGCGATGCTCCCTCGCCCACCGTACTAGCACACAGCTCTCCTGGTCGCGGTGTCCCCTTGCTTCTAGCCACTCCCCCGGGTGACTCGGCCCCCCCGGGGGGTGATCAGCCGGTGCTGGACACCCTGGAGTGTGACTGGCCTTGGGGAGTTGTCTTCCCGGAGACCAAGGCCTCCACACAGGCAGGAAGCGGGGCCTACGAAGCGGGAACCACGTTTGGAAGGCGTAGGGCTGGGGGTGGGGGAACAGCTAGGTTGGAGATACAAAAATAGAGATCATTTTGGGGGCACCCCTCCAGGCCTTTGCGCCAGCTCCCCTCCCCCCAACTCGGGCAGATTTCTTTCGCCCTCCGGTGCCCCGGGGCGCCCCCTAGCGGCAGCCCTAGCCGAGGGCCAAGCGGAGGTCCCCCGAGGGGACGCACGCCTAGAGGCAGGCGCGGCCCCTGGCGGCGGCGTAGTTATCTGGTGAGCGGCGCCTCGTCCCTCTGGTCGGGCGGGCTGACGGCGGTCTTGCTGAGCACCGCGGCCGAGTAGGGCAAGAAGCCGCTCTCGGAGCGCGGCGCCGCGGCGCTGCAGCCAAAGTCCGAGCCGCCCGCCGTCCCGGCTCCCCCGCCGCCGCCGCCGCCGCCGCCGCCGCCCCGGGAGCCCAGCGCTGCTGCTGCTGCGGCGGCGGCGGCGGCTGCAGACTGGCTGCTGTGGCAACTGAGGCACGAGCAGGGCGCCGAGCTGCCGCTGGGGGGCGCCCCGGCCGCCGCCGCCGAGGAGGCCGCCGCCGCCGCCGCAGCCGCCGCCGCAGCCGCCGACGCCGCGCTGTTGAGCCCCGCGGCGGCGGCGGCGGGCGCCTGGTAGAGCCCGGGGTGGCGGAAGCTGCAGAGTAGCTCGGGCCGCGAGTAGGGATGCGAGAGCGCGCGGAAGGTGTCCAGAGGACGGATGGAAGTGGCGAAGGGCGACGACGCCGCCGCCGCCGCTCCCGAGGCTGCGGCCGCCGCGGCCGCCGCGGTGACGCCCACGTGCGGGTAGTAGTGCAGCGGCACGTGCGAGTGGAAAGGGTACGGGAGGCTTCCGGTGGCCGCCGCGTGCGTCATCATGTAGGTGTAGAAGCTGGGGTCCGCCGGATGAGGCCACGACATGGCCAGGCGCTGCCGTTTGTCCTTCATGCGCCGATTCTGGAACCACACCTGCGGGGACAGTCGCGCCACCGCCGGGGTTAGGGAGCGCTGGCGATCTCCAGCCCCGGCCCAGGGCCTCCAAAGCCTTCCCGGGGCCCAGAGTCGCCTGGCCTACTGGTCGGGCTCAATCCCGCTGCTCTCCCGCATGGGACGGGGTGCACAGAAACCGGCGGGCCTCCTAGGGCACCTACCCTCCGCAGCCGGAGGAGTCTCCTCTCCTGTGTTAGGTGCAGCCCCTCGGGTTCTGGCTCTACACTTGCTGCTTTTTTCTCTCTCTCTCATCACAAACCAACCTTTTATCTCCCACCCACCGGTGCCCAGCCTCACTGAACACGGGTCTGTCAATCCCAGGATTTGCACGGGGATTCCGGGCAGCCTTTGAAGAGAGGCTGTCTCCAGTTTTTCTGAGAGGTAGTGGCTCCAGGTTTGAGCCCTCCGAGCTGCAAGGGCCGTTCCCTAGGGGTATGGGCCCGATTAGGGTATTGAAAGGATGATTTTGTTGGAAGCATTTGCTTTAAATGAGTGGCAAAAAGCTATGTGCCCAGAACCTGGAAAGGGAACGTTTCTACTCCTCCTAGCATAGTATCTAATAAAGACATCATGGGTCACAACTCTAAATGCAAGAAAGCCCGAGCATACTGGAGGACTTCTATATCGGTCTCTTCTTTTGCTAGACAGCTGAACACTCCGTGAAGTGCTCACCAAGCCTGCCTAGTTCCCAACCATCTTTTCTGGATGCAAAATAAAATTAAAAATAATAATATATAATTTCGTTGTTTCCCGTTGCCCAAAAGAAAATTTCTTTAGAAAACTACGTGCTCAATGCAATCGATTTTTTAAATACTACAACCCTTCAGGTACTAACGTTTTGCGTTAGAAATAAATCTCCAAAATCAGGAGCGAATGAAAGGCTTCACCTCGGATTTGTGCCAGAGGAACAAAAAGCAGGCCGCCTTGCCGCTTAGAGCAAAGTGGAAGTTTGGGCATAGGCGAGGAGATACCTGGAAAACCGTTGGGCAGAATTGAGCAGGGAGAGGGTTCGGTCAGAAGCGTGGGCCTCGTGATTCAGAACGCATTCTCGGATTAGCCAGGCCTGCCAACCGATTGGGGTTCCGCATACAAGAAATAAATAAGCCTACTCCTTCGGTGGAAAACCCCGGTGGACTCTCACAGCTAACTCTTGCCACCCAGAAAAGGAGGAAAGGGGGGAAAGAAACACATCAACCAGGTGCCCCGAGGGAGGCCTGGGCAGACATGCGCCAGAATCTGTACCTTGATGGTGGTTTCGGGCAGGTTGAGTGCCGCGGCCAGCTCGCACCGACGAGGCCGAGACACGTAATTCTCCCGGTAGAACTCTTTCTCCAGGCGTGCGATCTGTTCCCGGGTGAATGCCGTCCGGTACCGCCGCACCTGATCCGCGCCGGAGCCGGAGCCGGAGCCACCCAAAGCCGCACCCCCGCTGCTGCCGCCGCCGCCTCCATGCAGACTGCCGAGGCCCGAGCCGGAGGCCGACGTCGTGGTACCTGCGACTGAGCCGCTCTCCGCGTACCCTAACAAGCAAACGATCCACAATGCCGCATAAGTAGCTGTAGGACCTAAGGACCCTGAGCTGGGGTTGCTAACTGGTGGCAAAAGGGCTTTCGGGAAGCAAAGTCGCTGTCAGAATTGATGGGGGTCTGTCAGTCTTACAAATTGCTGCCGTTAATGGAATCAGTGAAGTTTGGGGAGCCCTTCCTAACCAATAATAGAAACGGAATTTAAGAGGTTGTTCTTTTTCCAGTAATTAGAAAATTTCCACTCGGTAGGAAAACTGACCGAGGAAAAATCCCTACTTCGAACGCAGTTTGAGAAGCTGTGGGTTTGACATGGTCTGGAAACCACAGGACGGCCTCCAACCTTCCTTTGACAGCCTTTGGGTTTGAAATATCTTAAGACTGTTAAAGCATGCACAGCTCAAACCCGAGCCAGTGATGGGGGAGGGGGTGTCTACTTCTCAACTCTTTTTCTGCCGCCGATTTAAGCGGTTGTACAGAGGTGTGGAGCCAGACTGTCTCAGATTTATCCAGAGGAGTCCCCCCTCCACCCGGCCCTGGGGGCTCCAGAGGCAGCAGAGTTCGGAACCCCTGCCCAGGGCACCCTTCCCCAAGAGCAAGCGGGCAACTGTGTCGCCTCGCCAGCGGGAAGATTTGCTCCCACTCAGGCAGTAGCCGGGGCGGGCGAGGAGGCCCGGCTCCGTAGGCTCCACAGGCCCGGGCTGGGTTGGGAAGCTCATAGAACAGAGCTAGAGGGTACGGTCCCCAGCATGCATCCCTCCCTGGCCCCTGCCAGCCCTGGGCAGCACTCTAGTTGCGAGACCGAGACCCGCCAAGGTGTGGGAAGCACTGGCGGGGCCCGCGAGGGAGCTCCGAGGACGGGGCTGGAGTCCACCGGCTGCCCGGTTACCTTTGGCATTGTTTTCCTTGAGCGGCGCGGCGCCCAGGCCGCTGGGGGAGCGCAGTGCCGAGCAGCCCACCTCCACGTCGCTGCTCATGTCGGCCTCGGTGGCCGCCTCTGAATAATGACCAGGCTTCTTGCGGCTCTCGGTGGCAGAGGCGATTTCGGAGGAGACGGTGCTTTCGCTGCTCGGGTGCTGCAGGTTGAACAGGGTGTCTATTTCGAATTTGCCCTTGGCGGGGAGGTCTCCCAGAGCGCCGTGCAGGGGAGCGGACGGCAGGCGCGGACTGAGGCGAGCCGGGTGCTGCGAATTTTCCAAGGCCTCCAGCACAGCACTGCCAGATGAATCGGACAAATTGGAGAACCTCTTGCTAGCAGAAGGGCTATGGAGCCCTCTCTCCATCAGAATCATCTCTTTTCTTATTCTTTCCATCATCTCAGCTTTCTAAAAAAAAAAATGTCACAGTGGCCTGGCTGTCCCGTCTTAATGATGGGCTGCGCCTAGAGCTGATTCTCATTCAGCCCCAGCAAGCCGCCGCTCTAAATATTATTATCTCTTTTGGAGGGAGGCAGAAAAATTGTGGGATGCCAGAGCGAGGGAATGACTGGTCAAAATGACCCATACATCCTTCTGAGTCGGAGATGTCATTCATCAAAAAGTAGCGCCCGCTCGTCATTAAGGTACGAATGACGCCGTTGGAATAATCATTTATTGTAACAGGTTTATAAGCAAATAAATACACGCTCCTGTCAGTGGGTAATGAA